CCACCTACCAACCAAAATGGGATCCCAAAAAAGGACACCCATGGAGTCACAGCCCGTTTCGTTTCGCGGCGCGCCGTCGGAGACGTGGTTGTCCAGGAGGACCAGTAGCTGGGCCCGGGCCTGCAGCTCCGAGGAGCGGGTTCATTTGTCAGGACTCATTTGGCTGGTCGGAAATAGGTACCGCAATGGGTTGCCCTGGGAAATCCGCCGACAACAGACGGCGTGTTGGACACAAAAAATGCTTCTTACCTCTTTACCTGTTACCCCTCCCCTAACCCTCCCCAGGGGCACCATTTCAGACGGGAATGGATCTCAACAAAGAAAAGGGGGCAAAAATCTCAGAGGGGAAGGGGGCAAGGGGACAATTCCAAAGGGACGCAAATAAGAAAGCAGGCCTGTAATGTCGGCGGCCTGAGCCGGAGGCGTTAAAATGGAAAGAAGGACTCAAACCTGCGGTCTGGTGGTCTTAGTTTGACCCACATGACCCATACCCATTTGTCAGATTCCGTACAAAACCCATGTTCCATGACCACTGGAGGCGTTTCACGAAATGGGCGTTCGTCGTTTTGTTGAGCACATAGTCCGCAGACCTCAAAACCCCAGTTTCCACAACCATAGTCCAAGCTGGCCAACTATATTCAGGCTCCGGCGCAAGCGTCGATCACCTGACACGAAGCATCAGAGGGGTGTGGTTCCTTGTGAAAACCCCCGGCTGGTATTGAGGGAACTCCTGGCTGGTATTAAGGAACACCGCCATGTTTGGCTCCCCACAATTTTGACAGATACCCACAGTATGTGAACAATGAGACGTATGCGAGTTCAAGACCACACCCGGCAAGTTACCATCCCAGGTATGTTTGCTTGCTTGCCTGTGTGCAACTTTATATGGGCATGTGTCAAAATAGGGGGACCTTCAAAGGTGATCCCTTCAGTTTGGGTTCCCTTCAAGAAAGGGTACGCTCCAAAAACAGCAAACCATATTGTGGATCTGTCTGTTTTTAGGCGAGACCTGGAATGCTTTTGATTTTCCCCTCTAAACCACAAAAAGATGATACCCTCAAACAAAAAGAGGACACGACTACATCTTTGTGGAAAAACGCGCACATGCCGACAAGTCGCCGCGTCCAGAATCTCCAGCACTGACTTGCCCTTGAGCTCCGGGTTGGCTGCCAGGAGGGAGTGCTGCAAATGATCACTCACCGCAGGATCTGTTTGCACCTCGAGATAAAAGCCAGTCGACCCAATGGTTTTTGGTGTCTGAAGGTGCACAAGGGTCCCTTTCCCAAAAAGAGACTCCTCCAAACTCATCGTTGGCTTTAACAAACAATTGCTCTTTCAACAATCAGAGTGGATAGCGGATCTTTGCAAGATGTTCCAAAACCCATTTGTTCACTTTAAATGTGATGTCCGTTTGGGTTCCATGTCTTCGGCGGAGTATGGACGCCAGTGCCGCTGGAGTGTTCGCATTGCGCACATTGCGCATAAATTCTAACCCGCATGCTTTCTAGTACACAAATATGACGAGGAAAAACTCGACAAAGCAGGTCCCCTGAAAAGCGCCACGCTCAACCGGGATAGGTCGCGGGCCATCCACACGGACCACGGAAACCGGACGCAATTGAAGCCCATCTCGCGGAAGGTGGAGGCAATACCTGGGATGCTGACTTCATAGGGGCCATGGGTCAAACATAGGCGTAAACAGGGTACCGACAACATTTGACACCCGTACGAGCGACAGTGACAAATATGCATGTTGCTTCCTTTGACATTGGATTTTGGTTCGTGACCCCCATTGCTGAATGGTATTCTGGTGACTGCGCCCAATGTCATTCCCTTGAATACAGTAGATGACCTCATAAGAGTCAAAACAAAACCGGTCAGCGCTATAGGGGTGCGCACATAGCCATGTAAAAGAATGAAAGGGCGGATGCATCTAGTTCAGGTTGGGACTATTCACATTCCTACCTGTTGATTGTGGAATATACGGACTCCCACGCAAGAGTCTGACTATGCATCTGTGGCGCTAAAAGCACTTCGGAGATGCAAGCCTCCGACAATGCCATCCTGCATGCAACAGCAGAGTCGCTTGCTTCTTGTTTGAAGAAACCACCCCTGGCCGCCAACCAAAATAATAGTGTTTAACGAGTCAAATTACATTACGAGAGGCCCGATTCGAATCGCCTCCAACCCTCTGGCCTTCACTTCAGCACCACCCCAATTGACACACGCCAGCTTCACGCGCTCGCCCTGCTGGTCAACGATCCATCTCCCAGAAGTCCTCAAGTGTGGGAGTTTCTCGAAATGGTGCTTCGACCCATTTTAGGTATTTCAGGCAAACCAAAAGAAACCAGCCGTTTGCGGGAACCCCTATTCTTGCAAGGTCGACTGGGTGTCTTATTGGGGGCGTCCTTTTGGGGGCCGGTTAAAGGACAAGGAGACCCGCCCAAAAATGTCCCCTATTTTGGCGCAGACTCTTTTGTGGGCCATGACTCATGGCTCTCCTGGTCTAACCAGCAGGAAATTCCCCCTAGCAATTGCAAAGGATGGTTTGGCCATGGCACATGGCGGGACGTCGATCACTGCAGGCTTGGCCATGGCCTCTGATAGCGTGTTACTCGAACATGGGTGAAAGGCTAAAACAGGCTCTGGGAAACCAGTGAGCAAAGTCAGGATTCGAAACCCCATCCCCACAGCCACATCTCGCGCACAAGTGAGGGCCATTCAGAAACAGTTGAAGGAGCCTGCACAAAAAACACGTTATGCATAAGGCATAAGGATCTACACAGTCGGCGCCTTTTTTCCATTGAGAATCGTCTCCGTACGCAACAACCAAGGCTTGGTCTTGGCTCACACATGTTCAATCCCTGAGGTCCTGAGAGGAAGAGCCGGAGGCCACGTCGCCTCCTCAGCGACGCAGCACTTGTGGCAATGCAAAAGATCAAAGATCTCTGTAGTTTTAGTGTGGGGAAGGGTTCTGACCAACTGTTGGGGCCGAGCTTTAAGTGGGGCCGCAATCCTTTGCGCAGAGCCTGTTTACAATTTGGGTTTGTGTCAAAACAAAAAACAAGAGAAACACACAAACACTGATATGTGTGTCTTGTTCTTGTTCGGAAATGCTTCATGCGGTCCACGACAGTTCGGAGCCTGTTTCTTGCATCATGCCCAAGTCCAATGGCTGGGTCTCAACTGGGCCTTTCAGAAACAAATCAAATGTCGCGCGACCCAAAACCATCCTAAGTGCGCTCATGTCTGAGGAGCCAATTGCAGGATTGGTAGATGATGCTCGCAGAAATGCGGCGGCGTGTCGACGTGTTGCCCCACATTCTCAGCGGTGCACACTGGCTGCGTTTGTTGGGAGGCACCGCTGCCGCGGAGCAGTTTGCAGCGGTCAAGCCGGGCAGCGCGGAGCTTGGACGCAGTCAAATCCCTCGAAAAACCGGCCAACTCCAGCCAAATTCCCCTCCAGAAGCCAATCAAATCCCCTCTAAAAAATTTCCCCAGAGACCGGCCCAGAACCCGGTCAATTCCATACATCTTCGCTTGGCCCCAGTCCACTTCTGTGGCTCTCTGTGTGGATCTCGTTCTATCTAGCCCTTGAAGCTATATTATGGAAACGCACGAACATGCACCCACCCTCTATCTTGGAAAACCAGCTCGCGCATTTCGGTGACTCACTCACTCAAACAAACACAACACTTCAAGGCACACCAAAACACAGTACCTCAAAGCCAGCCGAAAGTATTCTGGCCGAGGCGGGCAACGCGAAGCGTTTACAATTAAGGCAAATATTAGCACTGTTTTGCAATTCCGGGACCCTGTGGGGGGTGGTTTTACCTTGGCGCCCTCTGTACATTTGCTCAACCACAAAAAACGGTGCCACCCCCCAAAAAAAAATAAATAAAATAAAAAACACAACCCCATATCCGAGCTCAGCAGCTCTCAATTTCACCTCTTGTCCAAGGAAAGACTCATAGGACACGCAAAGCAGGACTTTACGCTGACACCTCGTGAGCCGCACGGTTCTCCATGTGCTGGTCAAAGACGTACACCATCAAAGCCAAAAGATGCAAATCATGCTCTCCATGTCTCCCAAGCTCCAAATAACTTTCAGGGTCGACCCTCTTCCTGAATAGAACCTGACATCCATAAACTGTTGGTTCTACCAGCATGGCTATAAAGGTCTATACAGGCCTTATGATCCTCACGAAACTACCTACCAAAATCGACCGCCCACAAAAATGGAGGCGGAGCCACCTATGGCTGTAAACTGATCTTTATGGTAGTAGAACCCCCCCCCCAACACACAAAACAAAAAGAAGCCCTTTTGGCATCTTTTTCGGGCGCTCTCGGCACTCTCGGCATCACTCTCAGGCCGGAGCTGAACAGCTCAGCAAGGCCACCCAGGCCCAGGCAACCGACATTGCAGAGATGCCTTGCCCTGAGTCTACTGGCCAGAAAAGTGCAAAAACCGTAGGTGGCCTTTTGGCCAAACAAAAAACTGGTAGTGGAATAAATTCCATCTAAACCAGTGCCATGTATTTTTGACCAAACCAACCTAAAAAGGACACCCATGGCAAAAACTCTTTGAAAGGCCAACTCTGCCAAGCTTGGCCTTGGTCTGTCAGGTTTTCTTCTAGCGGTCCGTTTTGCGGTGGGTCCAACTTTTGCTCATAGGCATGGTAAACCACTACTTGCCCAGGCAACATGCCCGCACGGGGTCATGACTCTTGCTAACTGCCAAGGGGCCTTGTGCTTTGCTTCAGCGTTCTGTGGGGAAACATTGGCCCTTTGTCGATGGTCCCGGCAAGCGCTGTAAATTTGCCTCAGGAATGGACAAGATCGCGCTGGAAAACAAGGAGAGATTAAGAGTTATGGTTGAAGCTAGTGCGCAGCGTCAGCCCGTGCTCATGGGTTTGAGCTTGACCGGCAGCACGCAGCGCAGCATTTCTGGCAGCATGATCAAGCACTCACCCTGAAGGTGTTGACGCTGGTGTCATTTTGCGCGCGCGCGCGGTGAGCCATCTCAGGCAAGTGCAACCTGGCTACAACTCAAGCACCGCGGATTCATGATGTTAGGAGTCATGAAACCGTCAAGGACGCACAACTGCAAAGCACAGTGTCGAATTTATATAAATCCAATGATACACGGCAAATGACCCCAAATGATCCCAATAAAACACCTTTCCACCAGCGGTTTCCAACTCTTTAATCATAGATGGGCATGGGTCAAAATCCAAATCGTACCCTCAGGGACCATCCCAATCCCCACTAAAGTGGGTTCTAAAAATGGGGTGAATTCAACCCCAAAGTGGGATCCCAACACGGTTTGCACCACATGGCTCCTATGGCCCACGTTCCTCCAGTCCAAATGGCCAGTCCCGCGCCTTCACAGCCTTGGCAGTCTCGCCAAGACCTCCCCTGCTGCCGCTTCCGCCACCTTGGAGTCTGGCAGGTCCCATCGAAAAGCTGCAGCTGTGGGTGGTTGCAAGTGGCCACTTTCCAAAAAGGCATCCATTCGATGGGTCAAAATGACTGGGGGACAACAGGTTGGTTCCATTGTGTTTGAGGACTCATTTGTTGGAACTTTGTTGGAATCCCTCAGCTGTTGTTCCGCAAACCCTGAGGCTCGCACAGTATGGCGCAAAGATCTGCGCATGCCGCCGCTCGTCCGACTCAGAGACGGAGGCCTAGCAGAACATCCGCGTGGTTTCTGGTTTGTCATGTTTGTCAAATGTTTCAACGGCCTAAACTGAAAAGAGGCTGTTTGCACAGTTTGATGGTTATGCAGGGTTGGTTGCAACATTTGGCTGAGAAGTTCCAAAAATGGTCATAAATCCAAGCAGGGGTCTACTTTTTGACTACCCCAAGGTAGACTTACACCCAGGGGTGTTGCTTGGGAAATCAACCACCCCTGGGTTTAACTCCTGTTGAGGGAAGTCAAAAGGTACACTGAATCCAAGCACCTGATCCCGCGCCTTGGCGCTCTCCAGTGCGGTGTACAAGTGACCTCGGCGGCCGGCCGGGCCCGTGCTAAGACTTTAAGAGCGCCAGGCACGTGAGGTCAGACTCAGAGCGGCGCCCATGGTGATCTTCGGCTCTCCAACTGCCTCCTTCCTTAGACCAAAAAGCGATCTGGCCAGATACATGAAGGACGCTACTCCCCTGCAAATTCACATGGAGCCCGACAAGAGGTCCATTCCCCAGGGGAGTGTTCCCAAAGGCGTGCCATGTGGGGAGGATGTCAAGCCAGCGACTTGAGCTTCTCATTCACCGCCTCGATCTTCGCAGACGAGAAGAGGGCATTGATGTCCTGCGGAGCTGACCACCCAAAGCCTGAAAACCAGTGGACACTATCAGCGAACTATCCAAAACAAAAACCGAACAAGCCCAGCCGCCCCCAACAGCAACCCCGGAACCCTTCCGGACACCTACCCCGGAGCTGCTCCGATCAAGAATCACGGAAGCTGACACAAAAGTGTTGGAAGACGCTTTCCATTTGGGAAAGCCCTTGCAAACAACTTCCATTGTTGGAGAAAGGAGTACACCTTGTGATCGAAGGCGCATATGCAACTTTGATATTAAAAAAAAAAAAAGTCGGTCCGCAGAGGTGAACAACCGGGGTAGGCGCGACACCAACTGCCGGAGCTGCACCTCATCCGAAGGAAGTGAGCTGCGAAAATATGTCGACCAGGGTGGCTCCCTTTGTGGGGGTTCCCCTTGGACAGTCAAGAGTTGCAATCTACTGGTGGGTGTCCATTGAAGGTACCACTTTTGGAGGTTCCGGCAAGGGAAATTGTGGAAACCCTGCTTGAGGGTATCCTTGTTTGGTTGCTTGGGAAACCAAAGGAACATTACCCATTTTGGGGATATGCTGCAGGACAAACCCTCATAGGAATTCTTACAATGGCTGTGATGGGGTTTGCCAACCAGCATGGCACATGTGGCAATATGTCCAACAAGCAGTGAGGTGTCAATTTGTTTATCACATTTGTTTGATGCCTTGCCAACGCCCCTTGCTTCCTGCCACTCAAATTGTGGCCCCTGGAGTCTGCTTGAAGGGAGTGGACTAGCCGATTTCTTTTGCCTCCACAGTCTGCTGCGCCTGAAATACATGATGCAAATGGCTAAAAGCGATGGTTTCGCCTTGGACGAATTCTGGTTGCAGCTAGACCAGCCAAACGCATCGCAGGCGTTCTGGACCCAGACTATGAAGTCCCACAAAACCTGGATTGGCCAAGCGACGTCATGGCAGGCATCTTCATCTAATGTCTGCTGCTCACCCAGTGGCGTCGCTTTGACCCGTCGGGTTGAAAATGGTCGCACTATGAGGTCGCGTGGCAATCCAGAAGCAAATTACCAAAACGTGCTTCTCGAGGCACATACGCGCTCCATGCAGGGCGCAGGCACTCGCGAAGGACATCCAAGTTGTACTTGCTCAGCCCTCGGAGACCTGCGCCTATTCAAATATAAGGGTTGCATCCCGAGCATTGGCAAGTGCCATCAAGCTCTGCTCAATGGCACGTGCAGTTCGAGTTTTACATTCGACTGCGACGGCAAGATTCGTCCCAAACAACTCATCTTGCACTCTTACCCTTTCGGCTGCCCTTTTTGCCTGCCAAGAGCTGGTTACGTTGTGGCAAGGCAACTACTCATGTCTCATAGGATCCCGACACCCTTTTTCCTGGTTTGCGCCCATATAAGAGCTTACTAAGGGCTTCTGGCAGAGGGAGGGGCGATTGCGGGGGCGGGGGGGGGGGGTCCTATGAATGTTGAGTGCTGTTCCCTTGACCATGGCACATGCGACCAGCACGCGCCATTCTTGCGGTTCTACCTGCACTACCAACATTGTGGCTCTCAAGACTTGTATAGGGATTACTACAATCCTTAAACCTGGTAGAACCAAACTGGCCCGTTTGGGGGTCGGTGCTGTGTCAAGGCAACTCATAGTGCCCACTACAAAGAAAAGCCCCCTCGTCACCCTTGACCTCCAGTCTGATGGCATCTGCCGGCCTTTTCCTCTGCGGCCTTTGCCTTTCGGCCGACTGCTTCCTTTGCCCAGGCACCTTCGCTTCCTAAGTGACAGAAGGCACCAACTTGCCAGGCGCGAACAGGGTTCCTTCTATGTTCCCTTTGGAACAGTCCGAAAGGAAACTCAAGTTATCAAATGCAGACACATCGCCCAAAAAATCCATCGTCAACACAAGCACGAGGCATGTAGCCAACAAGGTTCCTCAAATACAACCAAAGACCAGCTGCGTGTTTTCGCGGCGGTGTGTGCTTCAAGGCGCCCTGCCCTTTGGCTTCTTCGCCAAGCCGCCAAATGGCGAAGCGTCGGTTCCACTCCCGCCTGGACAAATGGATGTCCGGCGCAGGCGTGGGCTGGGCAGCAGAGCTCTGCTCCCTCACCTTCTCGATTTCGAGCCTTGGACTTGACGTTGACTCCCGAAAGCCCCAGGTCTGAATCAAATGCGGCGGGTTTTTCTGGAAGAAAGGATTCCCCACTGAAAAGGGAGCCCCCTTAACAAGAAGTGGGGGTTGATTGATCAGGGGGCAGCACTAACGTTTTGGTTGGACGCTTGTTTGTTGTTGGTTGTTGTTGCTTCTCTTGTTTTGTTCCTTCCTTTTTTTTGGGGGTGGGGGTCCTGAGTTGGTACCCTTTCAGGTTTGTTTAAAGGGAAATCAGGAAGATTCCTGAAGCTATTCTGGACCCACCAGGCGGAAAAAGTGAAACTCTCTTCCTAGCCAATAGGAAATAGCCACATTCGAGAAGGTCAAATGGATAAAGTTGAATTGCCATTGCTAGCTAGTAGGGAAGTAGTCATTGCCTGAATGGCTAAACGAGGTCTAATTTAAAACACATGCTGCTTTCAACCCACCAAGATTCAATCTTTGGGGGAAAATCGTCATGTCCTAAAGGTCACCCATCCTCCCACAAACATAGCACTCATGGATAGCAGGAAGAGTTGCCTCTTAAAGGGACCCTCAGGTGCTATGTGAGTAGGTTACTCCAGTCGTGCCAAGAATCCGTCGGGTGAGCAAAGCTTCGCGTGCGCGTGGAGCGGCCCGGATTTCGCGTCTTTCTGACAGGGACCCGGGTCTAACATGGTTTCTCAACAGTTGGGCCCGAGAAATACGCTGTTTCCTTGGCTTCCGCTTAGGCCACCGACCAAAAGACCAAAAGGGGGGTCGCCATTCTGAGAAACTTTGAGATCCTAGACTTTCCCTTTTGCTTGTAAGTTAATGCAAGAGCAGGACCAGTATCATCACCATTTTCAATTTCAAGGAGTCCTGTTTTAATCGGGGTCAACGTCAATGAGTCTTTCCATCTTCATGCAAGCGTGCTCCCTGCCATGGATGCGACGCCCCTTGTTGCCACATGTGGGCATGTAACAGAAGACTGGCCAGCCATGGCTTCACACGTCTTGCCCGGAAAAGACCAACACCTGCCCGAGAAGCGAGCAAATATTTGGGAGAGCGGGGAGGGCCCTCCGCTCGACCTACCGTGTATATGTCTTGGAGGGTTCTGAACGCCACTTCGGCCGAAGGAAAGCTGCCAAGGCTGAAAGCAAAACTGAATCAAAGCAAGCAAGCGGTCTCAAAAGGAAAAATGCTCTCACGGCGCGCTTGCCAACCTTGAGCGCTTCTTGGACGGGTCATCTCGGCATCTTCAGATTGGCCAGAGTTGTCCTGAGGCCAACGCAGCCGAGAATGCAGCATGTACGGACCTGCGTTGTGGCCAAACAAATAACGCTACACTTTTGGGGCAAGAAACCTAGCAACCCATCGAAAGGTAGCCAACTCCTTGTGTAAATGAATCCAAGGTGCAGTCTTCCCGGTTCTTGAATCCGACCTCGCATCTGATGTCCCTAAAGAGTCAGATAAGCCCTGCGAGTCGGAGGGCCGTGAATCTGGAGAAGGTCCTGCCGCAAGCCCCGCAAGCCCAAAGGGGCGTCCCCTTCCCAGAAGAATCCTCTGCCTGCCTTTGGGGGTATTTTCATCTGGCCATGGGCAAATCGTACCCCCAGTGAACATCCCAATCCCCACTAAAATAGACTAAAATGGTTGGTGCACCTACCCCAAAATGGTACCAAAACGGTTTTGACCCACAGCCATCTCGGTAAACCAAGCAAGTGATGGCGCAGCACCGAGCTCGTGTCCTGGCTCCTGATCTGCCCATCTGTCCGTCTTGTTGGGTGGCATGGGGACACCGGATGGCAAGAGGCAAAGCTGCAAATAGACTAACAATCAGCGCAGTCGAGGTGTTGCGTGCCACGTGTGTTGTGCTTTGCGTTCATTCATTGTTTGTGATATTTGCAAGAACGTCAGTGCATGTGACGGAATATCATTTGAGCAAAAACTGCCAGGTGTCATTTGAGCATGCCACCACTTTGCATTGACAACTGCTTTCATTGCTGTCCAAAAAAGCAAGGTAAGCTGCAAAGGCGCAACGACGGCCAATCCAAGCATATCATCAACTTTAGAAATCAGGCGCGTTGAGCGCGGAACATTGAGGTCAGCTTCTGCTGAAGCCGGAGCGCCGTCCGTGAGCTTATTCTTCCTGCAAGGTGACGACAGAATGGAGCACTCAGCATGAACCTGGTTGAACATCTGTCACATCTGGATCCTGCTCAGCACACGCCGTGAAACATCTTCAGAAAACATGGCGCCAATGCGACCATCTGCAGTGCGTGCAACACGTAAAATACCTTCAACATGTGCAAGAGGAAGGTCATTTTTCCCCAACCGTTTTGGGAAGCCCCCCGGTCAGCTGGCTGGTTGGTTGTTTGCTTGCTTGCTTGGTTGGTTGGTTAGTTGGTCAGTCTGTTGGTTGGCCGCACTGCATCAGCGGCCAGTTGGAAAATTCTAGGGGCTTTGGGGTGAGTTTTCGGCTGGAGGTCTTAATGGGGGCGGGTGTTGCAAAAAGCACCAAATTGGCTGTGATCCTTGCCTTGCCCCCGGATGTCTCTGCAACACTTGCATCGGCAGAGCGCCTTTAGCCTAGTGGGTGCTTCTCAAAGTCCCTTAAAGTGGTTCGTTCCCTTTGAATAGAAACCAAAAAGGGCTCCATTTTGAGAAACTCCCTTGAGCCCAGCTTCGCGCCTTGCCAGTACTTGACAAATGTCAAGCTTCTCCGCCTCGGAAGGAAGGCCTCGCATGGCACGGCCAGTGAAGACATGCCTTTTCCATTCTGAAATTCTGCTCAGCAAGCCTTCTTAACACCAGCGCAGCTATTTCTCCCGACATGCACCTCCCCCCAGATCCGTCTCTTGCCTGGGCCCCTTGCCACAGTAGCAGATCTTGTCAAAGCGGCCGGGACGCATCAGGGCAGGATCAACCATGTCCGGTCTCCCAGTTGCAGCAACCTGAAGTGGCTGTGAATCTTCGGTTGGACCACAAAGGGTGGACATTACGTGCGGGCATCATGCCCACCAACCACTTTTGAGCTGGGTCCCTATTAAAATTCACAACCAAGTGGAGTTGGAAAAAAAGGCCGCGCAGTGGAACCAAGTGAACCAAGTGCCTGACCACAAAGACTCGGCCTCTGTCCTCAACCTTGCAGCAGGAGTCATTGAACTGCTTCCAAAAACGGCAGTTCAAGAAAGGCGAGGCCCGGACCCCATCCAGGTAGCACAGCATCTGGTTGACCACGCGGTCCGTGACGCCCGTGGAGTCAGCTGGACCATCAGTGGGGCAGTGGGTCTCTCACAGACAGTCTGAGGGGCACAGCATCATAAGCCCTCTGGAACATGGGACGACCCGAACATGGGACGACCCGCACATTGTTTTAATGCCAGACAGGCCTGTGGTCTGGGCCAAAATGGGAAGCCCATTTGATCTCAGGGCCCCCAAAATCAACACGAGGCCATCATTGAGCCTGCCGTATCCTGGCAGGATTTCCGCACATACAAAATCAATCCAACGCCTCTCATCGACGAATTGTCGTTGGCGCGAACGTGGCACGGGGTTCCCTGCAGTTTCTGCGGCGTCCCCTGCCGTCGAGCCATCTCGTCTCAGACCTGGTCCAGGCACTCCCGGACCTTCTGCACCAAACCATCGGCCGTCCTTGGTCGTTGGCGACGCATTCATCCTTCAATGGGTTCGTTCACACACACACACGCTGGAAATGGACCAACGGATGGACATCAAAAAAGGTAGGGATTCATGTCTACCAACCATTGGTGAGGTGGTGCCTTAGTGGGTTCCTTTCGGATGCGAAAAAAACACAAGGTTTATATGCTACCAGTGTCGGGACCCGTCACCATGATGAGGAGCATGTTGTCTGTCGCCATCCCTTTCCATTATTTTGCACAGCCAGGCAAACACGGCATTACTCACGCATTTCACTCGTTCACTTGCCTGGAGCCATGCTCAAAATACGTTGTTCCAACAGCTGGCTGCTTTGACCAAACCTCATTTAAATTCAATCTGTGGGAACGCAAGTAGGGGGGCAACAATTTCCCTGCGAGAACAAGACACTTGCATTATGTACGCTTATGCGTCGCTGCTGAGACAGCGTGACACTGTTCTACATTCCTGGCCTGGCCAAATATATGGATGCCCAAAACAGAACGCAACTTGATCCTGCTGGGCGGGGACGCCTTTACTTTGATTCAGGATTGCAGCTATGAAGTCGTTTGTTGCTTGTCGCCTAGTGTCACGGGTAATATCCGTGACATCCGTTCCAACGATGACCGCTACCCACACGGCCAAGCTCGGAGTGGGAAGCCCTTGCCTCAGGATTACCTATCCACTTTGCCGATGGTCGTTCGAAATGGGCGATCTAAGCGCAGACCCCCTGCCAAGGCTTTTGCGCAGAGTCGAACACACAGAGTTGCTGTGCATTGCTACTTGGCTGCAGGCGCCAAACAAATCAGGGCCATTCGCGTTGGGCAGGACAGAGAGTAGGCTGAACATTTGACCGCCTAAGGCCGCAAAGCGAGCATCCATTTTAGAAATCCCTCGGCATACCTTGACAGAGCCACGCTGAGCAAGAAACGTGCACTTCCTGCAAGCCCTGCAAGCAGTGAAGCTTGTTGCTAGTGGAAGAAAAACTCGTCCTTTTGCAGGAGGTTCAAAGCTTAGTTCAGGCGTACCAAAGAGCAACCAAGCGTCTTCTTGCCATCTCCCAGCAGCATCTCGTTGTTGCCTTGTCCGCTCTTAGACACCCTGCAAACAGTTAAGCAAGGGGAAACAATCATGTCAAAAAGGTTCTTCGAGGTTACCCGCAGCAGATCGCACCATGCCCTTTCTGTGGGCCAGCGAATGCTTTGACCAGCGTGCGGGGAATTTTGTCGCCAGTGTTCAGAGCCCAACGGACCACAAGGCGAAAGGCCAAAGGGTAGGTCCAGAGACCCTTTTCAAATGAGCTTTGTGAGGCCGCCCTTTTTCCCCCGAAGGGATTAAAGGGACACCCGAAGGAAAACCCGAAATCCCAAGTTGCTCTGGAGCGACCCCGAATATGGTTCTCCTTCTGGCTTCCTTTTCAACCAACCCTGAAAACCGATCATTTGTCTCAAAATGGGGGAACCTCCAAACGTTGGTGTCCTTCCGGCTTCCCTTCAAAGCTCCCGCCCAAAACGGAACCGCGAACCGCACCCACATACCAAACTGGTAGCACATCCCAAAGAACACAAGCCATACCCAAGTTGCTCTACCCCTGACCATGGCTTCCCTGTCAACCTTGGCTAAAAACGGTACCCAAGCTGCTCTATTTCTGAACATGGCTTCCCTGCAAAGGCTGAAGACGGGAGCCAGGGCCAAGTGGCTGTGGCTCAAAAAACCGGTACCAAAATGGAACCCTGGTAAGTGGAAACAAGGATCAAAACCTGCGTAACCCCTCCTGTTGAATTTTGAGCCACAGCCAAGTTGCTCTTGTAGAAGACGGGGTCCAGGTCCGCGAAACGCCTCCCATGGAGCGCTTGCAGATCACCTTGGCTCGCACCTCGACGGCATGCAGATGGCGCAGCCCTCCAGCTCCTCGGACCCAAAGTTTGGGACAAGATCTTCGGTTCCGGGGTCAAAAAAATGCATCTATACCAAAAATAGATGTATAATATGTGTATGTATATATATATATATGCTTTGTATATATATATAGAGAGAGAAAGAGAGAGATGCTTTGTATATATATATAGAGAGAGAGAGAGAAAGAGAGAGATGCTTTGTATATATATATATATATATATATGTATATGCTGTGTCTATATATATATATATATATGCTGTGTATATATATATATATATATCCCGTGGCCAAACTTACAATGGTGCCCTCTGTGTCTTCGAACAGGAATCGGAGCCCTTTGCAGCAAAGTTGCTTGTTGCCCTAAGGACATGGGAAAAGTGGGAGGGGTTCTCCCAGTCTCCCAGTCTCCCTCCCAAATGGACCACGGACTATTCGGACCACGGGCATGGTTTCCTTTTGGCCCTTGAACTACCAACCATTGTGGGCCTCACAAGAATCTTCATGAGACCAGGTAGAACCATCATCATCTACATGGCCTTATTCGGGGCTCCTTCAACTTTGGCATTCTGGCTACAGCTTGTGAAATTTGAGTTGGACCCCGACAGTGACTTCGAGTCCTCTATTCAAGTCCCATGGAACCATGGTAGGAACCAAACCATGAACGGCCTCGGGGTGTGCGTCCCTTTAGTTTTTCCTGCCGTACAGCCTCCTTTGGCAGTAGAACCACCTCTATGGCCTTAAACGGGGCTGTTTGAAGCCCAACAAAACCCTCATGTACAAGGCTTCGCACCCTCCAAAGCTGCTGGCATGTGGGGGTTTCCTTTGGTTGGTCTTAAGGTATCCCTTAAGGAACCGCCGGCCTTTGCTCGTTTTGTGGCGCGCTTTTTGCTTTGCTTTGCGGCCGCTCCTGGGCCGCAGAGTTCACCGCGTCGTTGGCGCCCATCACCAGCACCACGTCGTAGTTCTCCATCTCCGGGTTCACCTGAGGGAAAAAAAATGAAGCATTTCTGGAGTCCGGAAATGGGGGGTAGTAGGGAACCCTCAGGAAGGATTTGAATCATTTCTAGCGCCTGAGGCGGTGGTTTAAGGGCGGCCTATAAGGAACGCTGTAGAACCCTAAGGAACCCCTGTCAACTATCCGCCCCCTTGTACCTACCCCATTGAGGATTCCATAATCCATGGGCTCCAAAACGTTTTGAGAACCCCCAAGCAGACCAGGTGCCAGTTTCCTCTTGGGGTTTAAGCCTACCTTGGGGTAATAAAAAAAAAATGAAGCCCTGGCTTAGACAACAGCCTTTTTTCTCTGAGGGGGCCAGGGTCCTGTCCAAACATGTGGCGAAGAACGTCCAAGCCCGCCAAAACCCAAGTAGAGTAATTTTGAGGATGGTTTCGCTTCTAATGACAGTAGCTTTGAGGATGCAACCAACCTGTTTGGGTATATGTCAAGATAAGGAGACCCCCTCCCCAACAAACATGTGGTTTGCCACTTGGATTCCCTTCAAAGCCAAACCCAAAAAGGGCACATAAGCAGAGGATGCGAAAAGGCAAAGCCAAAGAGCCACCAAAAGCCGCATAAACCAACAAGAAGCCGAAAAGCCAAGAAGCCGAGAAGCCAAAAGGCCAAGAAGCCAAAAAGTCAAGAAGCCAAGAAGCCAAAAGCGAAAAAGAAATCCCAAAAAAGAACCGGATACAAAAAAATACCCCTCCGAAATTTCCAAACCCTACAGGGACCCCAGAAAACAAGTCCCCCTCCTTTTCGCTTTCGCCGTCCCTCCGCCTCACCCCCGGCCCCCCCCCACCGACTCCGTCGCCCGGCGGCCTCGATGACGGCGCGGTGCCCGGCCACCTTGGCCTGGGAGCTGGTGATTCGGGGCACCGCCGTCACGTCCACCAACATCACCCCGAAACCCTTGGCCTTCTCGCAGATGTCCTGTCGGCTTTCCGTCGCCTTTGCATTGATTCCATCCTTAAGAATATCAAACATAGGAGAAAACAGGAATATTGGAGATATATATATATATATTATATACATAGAGATATATTAGATATAGATAGAAAGAGATAGGGTGTCCTGTGGGTGTCTCAAAATGACCTTGGCTTCTTTCTGGCTTGCCATTGAATCACCGCTATGTGTGGGCTTTGCCTTTGAATCCATCCAAAGGGGGGTCCCTTTGAGCCAAGGTGAAAAGGGGTGCGAGGGTACTCCTTTTCACCTGAAGGCGACCCGCAGCACTGCGTGGTTTGTACAGATACCCATGAGCCAGAAAAGAGGCCTGGTGCATCCACAAAAAGGAGCTTCAAAATGGGGTCTTGGGTCCCTCGGCCTCCGCAATCCCCGCAGCACTAGAAGGAAAAACACTGCAAGCGCAGCATAAACATTTAGGGATAAAGTGTTGCTGGAATGGACAACATGAAGGAGAAAATCAAGACAAAAACACAATCTGGCATAACAGATCCGGAACAAATTGTTTTTGCACAAGCGATTGGGGATTGACTTGAGAGAGCCGAGTGAGACACGTTTGAACGACTGTTTAAACCGGCCCCCATACCACCTGGCAGGATTGTTGGATTTATTGAGTTTGGACAGGCAGAGCAATGGTTGCCCAAAACGGAGGCAAACAAAATTAAGGACTATTTGGGTATGCGCAAATGATTGGCTTTCTTTTGGTGTCCCCGTGAACCAGCCCCAAAAGTGGGTACCTTTGACCCCAAACAAACACGACCCAACAACCCGTTTTTGGACCAACCCCCGTGTCCTTGCCCTTGTCCTGCAGCCGCCCCACCCAGCTGATGACCACCTTGCTCCTGCAGCTGGGGAAATCCTCCACCGGCGGCTCGATGGAGAAGAGCACCGCGCTCTTCTTGATCACGTCCCCGCGCGCCAGAACCTCGCTTGTGGAAGATATAAACCAAAACACCAACAACAAAAAAAGAGTGCTTGTGGAAGCTGCAAGCTAAAGGAATCAACTTATGATTTGTTTGAGCCAAAACATGTTGGTTGAACGGAATTATGCTTTGTGCGCTTCTGAAGTGGACCGCAGACCGCCGGGGATATATCCAGGTCAGGGGCGACGCAGCCCCCTGCGCAACGCGTGAACACCAGCTTCCCCCTAAACGAGGGCCAACATCTAGCTGCACCTGTTGCCCAACCCTGCCTTGCAGCCTTTCTGCACATATGCCTGGTCCGCAAAACCCGCGTGGACTCCGGCGGATTGCTCCACGTTGATGCCATAGCCATCCTTGATGAGCTGTCCGCCACGTCCGGCACCATGCTCACACGCTGGTCCTTGGTCATTCATTCAAGCCAAAACCTGCAGTAGAAATGCAACACTTCCCACCATCATCATTTGAGTGAAGAGAAAAAGCACGGGTGTGTGTCACAAAGTACACAGGGTGCCCAAAAGTTGTGGTTTGCTTGCGGGTTCCCTGTCGCAGCCGCGAACACACGCAAAAGAAAAAAAGCAAAAAGATGTGACCCAACGTCTTCCAGGGTCCCCCTTGGAGACCCGGGAATCTGGCGTGTAGCCCTCATGCAGCACCCCCAGCTCCACGGCTACCCCCGCCGTCGGCGGCAGCGCGTCGTTCTGCAGCGGGGCGGCGATGGCGGCCATGGCGCAAGAAGCGCGCGCAAGGATCGCGATCGGCGGGCCAAACAAACGACTGAAGAACCAACAGGCACATGTCAAAAGGATTTGGACCCCAGACGTGGGTTGCAAAAGGGAGCTGCTCAAAATGGAGGTCGGACCCCTGTTTGGTTGGCACCAAAAGGAAGCCCACCGATGATTTAAAAAAAAAAAAATGAGAAGCACATAGAGCCGCGTGTATGCCAAAATAGGGATTTGGACCGGGACCCCAAAATGGTTCGTTCCAATTGAGTTGCCTCTAAACCAACCAACAAAATCTCATGACGGGCAAAAGCAAAGTGAGTCAGACTCAAAACCTGGTGATGCTGTGTACCCAGAACCATGACTGAAAAGGGCGGCCGCGCCTGTTCCCTAATCACCTGCACTTATCCGATCTTGAATGAGCGACTTTTGCGCAAGTGCACACAAGTCGGCAGGAGATGCTTTGTGGCTCGCAGTCTGAATCCGGCCTCCACGTTTGGGTGTCAATGCCTCAGAGCAGCAAGGCTTGATTCCGAGGCAACAAACGTGTGCTGAATCTTCAAGAAGTTCTGGTGAACGGGGTAAAGAATGCTGCGCACGCCTCTGATCGCACTAAAAGAAACCTGCAATGCGCAAGGCTAAGATAGGGATTGAAACTTTTTGAGAGCCACGCTTCGATTTCATCAAAGAAAATGACAGCTGGCGCAGCGGCCGCTGCTCGCTCAAAGACCTGCACAAAGAGTACAGTACTTCTCAAGTCGTCCTGCAAAACATATCGCTGTGTCGTGTTTGCCCATGTTGGGGGGCAGCTTTGTGGGGAATTCAAAGGGAAACCTGTCCTTTCTGTGTTCCCACATGAGACAAACCCACATCGAACACATTGAACCATGTGGGGCTGTTTTTTCTGAGGGTACTCTTGGGGTGGTTTCAACGGAAACCAACAGGAACCCTTTCCAAGGGCTCCCAACGACAAAAAAACCCACGCCGGGGGTGGTCAAACATATATGGTGCCTTCATGGACTTTGGCGCCCCCCCCCCGGCCCTGTGGCTCCGAGCAAAAACAAATCCGGCCTTGCGCACACCGGCTTCCGACTCCCCGATGTACTTGGAAAGAAGCTCGGGCCCCTTGACAGAGAGGAACCTGAGGAGCGCATGTCCAGCCACCTTGGGCCTTGGGTCAAAAAAGGAACCTGGTTTGAAGACCAGTTGTTACAACTTGTTTGGTTCAATCTCCTTTTGGTTCTCTTTCAAACACGTCGAGAACTTGTGCTTAGCCCATGATCTTAGCATGAATCGCGTGCTTCTCAAAAGAGGAATCGCCCCCCTGAAATGGCTTGGCCTTGCTGTTGGTTTCCCTTTAAACACCAACCAGGAGGGGGGCTCGAAGCACGATTTTGAGAAACTCCCAAACCCATGAACTGAAACCTCGGATTCGCCCTTTGTTCGGCCTGAGCAGTCCCTTCGTCTCGTGAGCTGCCGCCTCAATTCGCATGGCAGGCCTCTTGAAACCACGGCATGCCCTGGCCTGTATGAGCATAGTCTTGCCACAGCCAGGTGGGCCGACAAGCATGAGGCCCTGCGACAACAAAGAAAGATAAACATGGGACAGGCATGCCTCTTGCAGAGGCATCACTTCTAGAAACTAGGAAACTTGCACATGGTGACCCTGTCTGTGGGGTGGCAAACAAATGTTTCTGCATTGAACTGCTGACCCGAAGACAGCGCACCTTGCGAGTTCGAACAGGAGCACGGTCAAGCAGAACCGCATATCTGCCATGAGCCAAGAACAAAGGTGATTCAATGCCCGTCTGCCCTCTGGCCATCATGCCAAATGTTAACCATGGATTCAAAAACCCTGACACCCCAGTACTATGGGGGATTTGCTGAGTCGACCTTGTAGGCATGGTCAACATGTCCATCAGCTCCTGCCACGTCGCAGTTCTTACGACCAAAAAAAGGGGCCGGGGGAAAGCACGAACCGTGGATCCGGATGGCACGTCCTGTTTGGCGCTCTGCAGGCCTCCAATGTCAGCCAACTGAACCTCCTAACGCCAAAAGAAGCAAGAGTCGCGCTGTTGGCGTTGGGGAAGCAGCAAAAATCACACAACATGCAACAGTCCGAAGTGAAGAACGTCTGGTCTGCCATGGTGGCCGGGACAAAGTCCTGCAGCAAATGCGCAAAATCCACGAGGGGGCGGGCAATTCAGCCACTCGTTTGAGCCATCAGTGTTTGAACAATCTCCTTTTGGTCTCCCTAAAAAGTTCAAGCCAGGGGTCTAACCCGTGAAACCCCATGTCGCAACCAACAGGTGTCCCTTTGCAGGGGCCGAAGCGAGCCTGGCCTCGCAGGCCTTCTGCAACTGCTCCATGCAGAGGCGCTGCTTGCCCCACCTGGCGGGCTCAGGCTGGGCAAATTACTTGGATAAATTGCTTGGCCCGAATCGGAGAGCTCAACCTGCCCAGATTCATTTAGCATCACGCTGTGGACCCCCAACATGGGTGGTTCTCCATTTGGCTTCCCTGTAAAACAACTTCCAAAGTGAGACACTCCACGAAGTACACATACGTCATTTTTTCCTGCATGGGGGAAGCCTCTAAATGTCAACCACAAAGAACCACAGGGATGAGCTCGCACTGGAGAAAACCACACCAAATGGAGATTGTGCCAAACTACGGCTTTCGCCCAAAAAGGGTATCCCGGTTCTCCACTTGATTTCCCTTTCAACTTTTCACCAACCCCTTTTTCAGGGGCACCCTAAACACACGCATGCGCACACGCCCCCAGGGCAAACAAAATGGTGCCAGGTCCACTCAGAGGTGCCGTCACGCAGCCGTTCTCCGCTGGCCTGCACGTTGGCCTGAGCCGTTGCAACGGATCGGGTCGTCACCCCTGGGTGTCTTAAAATAGGCTACCCCGGACGTGGTAGGGGACACTTCAAAGACCAACATCCAAAGGATGATTTCCCGAATCTAATTCCGTGCTTTCTAATCATGGACTGAGCCAAGCCAATAACAAGCAATCTTCTAGGGGACACTTCCATTTCCGTTCTTTCCACGGATCCGAATCTTTCCAGAAAACCATCAGAAGGGGAAACAGATCCGTTTTGTTTTTTTTAAATACGATGTTTGAAAAGAATGCGGAATCAACCCCTAGAATGGTGTTGTTTTGCTGTGGTCGCCTTTAACAACCACCTCAAAAAGGGTATCCGCGAAAAAACAGCTCGCCCAGCTGGCTGTCTGAAATATGCCCCCCGGTATGTGCCGCCAATTTCATGGGGATACCAAACAGCAGCTGTTGTTAACAGCCCCCCCAGTTAATTGGAAGCAGACACTTTGGAAGACATCAGAAATGCATGGTTTTGGATACATGTCCATCTCAAAAATGGTGTTCGCCATCACACTTCATGGAGTGACCTGTGACCTGGGTATCATTTTTACTTTGAAACAGATCCTTTGGTGGACATGACTTGTAGAATATCCACCAGCCACTTTGGAGGGTGTTTCAATCATTAAAGTTCATAACCCAAAACACTATGGCAATCTGCGTCCAGCAAATCTCTAAAATGGTGTTCGGTTGGAAAAAAAAGCTCGGCCACGCCTCAACGCAGGCACGCTCCACGAGGTCGCAGAGATCCGCGATGCTGAAGCCATCCACACCTGAGTGCTCAAACCCCTTGACTTTTTGCTTGCTAAGATGCTTGTACAGGTTTATAACTTACAACCCTTCCAACGACTCCCATCCAGGCAGTAGAACCACTTTCTAACGATGTTTGTAAAGGTTTATAACTGAGAACCCTTGCGACGACTCCCATCAACCAGTAGAACCAACTTCTACAATGGTCAACGGGTTTTGGGCGCTGCTCACCCGGCCAGAGGCCTTTGCTTCCGCGCGCTTCGCGCGACGCGGAGTTGAGTGTGGCACGCCCGCCCCAGGCATCCAGAGCTCCCTCTGCGAGCAGCGCCTGCTCCACCTGGCATGGACATCGAGCGGACAACCGGATTTTGGTCCCAGCACATGGAAGAATCGGGCCAATCGATTGGCCAGTTCTGCCACCCAAATCAGGCCAGCTTTGCATCCCAGCCCTCCTCCACCTGAAAAAAAAACAACAGATGTGGCCAAACTGCCAACTGAGGCCCACAACCTTCAGCTGAACCAGCGCCATGAGAATCTCCGGCCGCTCCTATGGCCGATTGAATTGTTGGGCGCTCACGTGCATCAAGTGATCTCCTTCAACTGAGGCTGACGAATTGCCACCTGCATGATAGATTGCATGCTCAAATTGGGTAGGGTAAGTTCGGAATCCGGAGGCTACGAATCAGAGGAACCTAAAATGAAACAAAGTGCCCCTGATTCGTATCCTCCGGACTAATCCGAAGTTGAAAGGCAAGCAACCTTGTGCTCCAGCGCTGGCCACGTCCAAAGCCTGGCGGTCTCTTTTTGGGGTTGGTTGAAAGGGACACCAAAGAGACATTTCTGGGGTACCCCATTCTGACACATGGGTGTCGCTCACAACTAAAAACCCAGGGTTACGCAGGTTTTATATTCTTTCCATTTGCCAGGGTTCCATTTTGGGCCCCTATTTTGACCCACAGCCACATTCCCACATCTGGTAAGTGGTGCCGGCACGGCATCCGGTGCACGGACGAATCATCCGGGATGGTCACCACAAAGGCGACTCGGGCACCGCTGGACCGAACCTGACCATCGAGACAGCACAATTTCCATGGTCCTAGCTGTGAAATGGGCATGAGACGGCACCTTGTTTTGGAGCTTGGTTTGAAGGAAAACCAAAGAGTTTTCTCCCCCAGAAAAAGAGACACCAATCCTGTGGATGGACAATATCTACTTTTCACCAGTTCGGATGCATGAAACCCGACGGGTACTGAGAGAAACCTCCTACTGAGTGGTGCAGGACTCTGTCCGTCCACAGGGGTCACTGGTCTGACGTGTCCCACCTCTGGAAGCAGGTCCAGCAACATTTCGGCCAGCAGAGACGAGCGCTCCTTCCACTTGATTCAACATTCAAGTGGGGGGTCGAAACCGATTGGTTCTAACAACATAGATCCACCTACTACTTTGTCGGAGGCGGGGGGAGATGTTAGGCGCTGCTCAACTGGATTTTGTCTCCAAAAGGAGAAGCTCCCCCAACGTGGATGGTTTCTCTTTGGTTTCCCCTTTGGTTCTTGAAATCAAGCCAGAAGTACCCTCAAAAAAAAAACAAAAAAATCACCGGCAGGCAGAATATGATGCCATCCTCCGTGATCGAGAGGTTTGGCGCACCAGGCTCCACATCGGGACCTAGAAGGCTGGCAAAAACTTGCGGGTCAACAGAAGCTGGTTGTAATACAACTACAAGAATAGCAACTACTTGGGGGTTGATCAAAAGGTCCTTCACATGGGATGACCATTGGTTGGGAAACCACTGAAATGAGGTGTGTACGATTTTAGGGGACCCCCTGAAAGATTGGTTGTCTTGGTATTCCTTTAACCCACAAACATGGGGGTATCCTGAAAAAAAGACTCACCCTTATTAAGGTAAAGTGACAGTTCTGTTAACTTCGGATGAATCCAGAGATTTTCACTAATCAAGGATGGCTCCCGATTTACCAAGGACGGTGAGCTATCTTTGGGGGTCCTTTGTCTTGCAGGGTTTTACGGATACCAAGGAAAACATTCGCCTGAGGCTGGACGTCCCGGGGCCGGCACAAAGCGCACCAAAGTCATCAAGCCTCGCCCCGATGGGCTCGCCGCGCTCGCTCGCTCGCATGACTCGCACTCCCGCTGAGGTTCCAGCAGCACCACACAGGGGGAATACCAGCAAGCAAAGAAGACCACGGCGCGCAGCCACTCCTATGCATTCAATCCGTAGCCACTCCGCAGCCACTCCGCAGCCACTCCGCAGCCACTCCGCAGCCACTCCCAGCGCGCAGCCCCTTTTTAGGGGATTAGGGAGACAAAAGGGATTCAAATGCACCGGTTTCAGCGGTCCCAGAAATTTTTGGCACATGCCCAAATTGTTTTTGGCCTGAACTGGCAAACTGGCAAACCAAGAAGCAAACGGAGGAATATCTCCCGTCCCACCATCTCTCTACCTTCATTCCCTTTGTTCTTGGTTATTGGCTGAGGTAGGGAAGCTTCCAACAATGAACGTAGAGAATCTGAGGTCAAGGAAAGGTAAGAAGTGGAAGCCAATCAAGCTAGGAATGGCATGGATAACCTCACTCTCAATCTTCTTCTCCTTATCCTAGCTTGTACTGTCTGTCTTGTTCATAATCTGTTCCTTCGGACGAGTTGAGAATGGTGGCACACCTCGTGCTGACCGTTTCCCATCAGTGCAGCCAGACCTGCACAGTCGTGAACTTCTTCGCTGGGCCCAGCTTGCCACACATCACCTGACACCATCTGAGTCAGTCAAACCGGTTGGGCTCTGCCTACCCTGCCCGAAACCCAGGGTAAATCATCAAAAGGGCTACCTGCTACATTTCTGGATGCGAGTCTCCCTTACCAACCTTCACTTTCCCGGATTTGAACTGTGACTCATCTCAAACCGCCTGCAGTGGCAAAACTCCATCCGCCATCATCTGCGAGAGAATGCGCCGGCACAGCCTGGTTTTGCCGGACCTCGGGAGCGAACTGCATGAGAGGACCAGATTGCGAACTGGACACCCGGCCCGGGAGATCCGGTGACAGCAACCATGCCTCGGCTCTTCAAGACACAAAACGTGTGAGTGCAATCAATGAGCTGCCTGGAACGGCCACGCCAAGTCTGGGGTCTGCGGTCTTCGCAAACCTGGCAGTCCAAGCCGCAAAAAGGGGCAGCGTAAGCCGAGAGTCTGCTGGGAAACTTGCAGGGCTAAGTGCTGAACATGCCACCCTTCCCACTGGCACCCAAGCAGGCCTGGAGAGGCAGTCACTTGCACAACACCAGCGAGCGACACTTGCGCTGCCCATTGAAAGACGCCTCATGATCAGCATCACCAGCATACCGACACTTCCCATCAAGCCAAGTGCTAGTAATGCAGGTGATGCTAGCGATGCGGGCAATGGAAATGCAGATGATGCAGGTGATGTGGGATATCCCTGAATTGCTGCCCCGAAAATCCGTCCTGTAGGTACCGATGCAGCGTCTCGGCCGACTCAGACACCATCGACATCGCGTCAATGGGCCCAGAGCCTCGCGCAACACCACAGATCCACAGCTAAAAGGCGCCTCGAATGCCGAGCTTTGGGCAAAAGGGCGGCACCAACTCCACGACGCCCGTCCAGTCCTGCAAGTGGATCATCACACCGGAGGTGAAAAAACTCCAGCAGCCTCGGGGGGATCTCGAGGCAGGCCCGACCAGAGACGACCTGAACGCTTCGGGGCTCTGATCCCGACGGCTTATCTCAGTCGTCAAATCGAGTTTCGTCCATCCCAACTGACGCCGATCGATTCGGTGCACAGCAAGTCGCCTAGAGGGTCCATTTTCGGTCTGGAAGGGGCGGACGTTCCGCCTGACAGATCTCACTCTGATGCGCGGCGCAGCGCGCTCTGGGCTTCTGACTTTGGGTTCTGTATGGCCATAAAACTCAACTGCCTGACCCTTAACCATACCAGCCAGGGGTTTTGGTTCCAACATGGTAAAGGTTTGGGCCTTCAAATTCAACCAGCTGGGTTTCGGCCGACATTGGGCGCTCAAAGCAACCACTAAGCCTCGCACTTTCCAGGTCTGCAATGGTCACCATGGGCTCGCCCCCAGAGATTCTCGCAAAGGGCGGCTCCCGTCCATTCCTCGCTGTGAAGCTTGGGATGGGATCCACATCCCCATGAAACTTTGATCAAGCACAAGCCTCAGCGGTTGGCGGACATGAATCGGGACCCACCAAATTATGATGTCCAGGATGCTAAACCCATGAGTTTCTCTGAGGGCCGGGGTGTCAGGCCTTGAGCTGATCCTTGCGAACATTGTTCATGAATTGCTCATAGTGGGCATCATTTAGGCCGGTTCCGTTAATGTCACCCAACCAATTTTGAGTTTTCTCGACTAAGACCAGCCAAATTACACTTGGGATCCGGCTTCTCGGCTGATCAAACGACGTCCCAGTTCAGCCTTTTTGAGGTTCCGGCCGGAGGTCCCGAGCAGCACCCACTGCAAGTCGTATGTACACAAGAATGGCCTGGCAGGCTTCAATAAATCCAAAGCTTAGCCAAGAAGTGCCCTGCAATTCAAGGTTCCATCTCTTGGTGACCGCGCGTCTACAAAAAACTCAAAGCAGATGTGCCATTTAAGCGATTCCCCTTGGCAATGGAAAGTGGCACCTGCGGAGTCTCCATCTGTTCTGGGCGGCAGGAGCTCGAATTGGGCAGCCTGGGCCATGCTTGACCGATTCACCTGAAGGGCGTGTTACATGGAGTGACATGAACCGAGCTGTTGGCATTTCGACCAAGTCCAAACCCAGGTCGACCTTCAGGGAAAGCGTTCAGATCCCAACCTTGCACCACCCGACACGCACGCCGCACCACGTGCCCCTTTTTTCAATCCAGCCCAGGTGTCCTCCTGGATTGACCCAAAGACGGCAGCGTCTCCAACTCACACTTTGGCAAGTCGCGAGCTGCGCTCCGGACTTTTGGGACTCAGACATCGCCCACGAACACGCCGCCGTTCCGGTAGGTCCCTGCCGGATATCTGGGCAACGTGATGCCTTTGGGCTCGAAGACCTTGATGTAGTCAATGTCGAAGTAGGCCTGGGTCTTCAGAGGCTCTTCCGCCGATGGGTTCGAGACGTAGAGCGTGCAGCAGTCCGTGGCTGGCTCTGTGACATGGCCTGGGATGCAATAGTTCGGCACATAGCCGGTAGCTTTGCAGGTCTCACTGGTAAACCATGAGTTCCCGGCCCAATCGCCGCAAAGGGCGATGTTGAGAACAATCTCCTGAGGCCGTGCAATGTTCATGCAGGTCTCAGCATCAAAAGGCATGAAGGCCATTCGCCAGTCATCTTTCCACGTGTTTGGCTGAGGCAGGTCCGACTCCAAGTCTGCCGGAATCTCGCTTGCTGGAATATGGAAGCTGGTGATTCCGCTTGCATCCCACAGCAAGGCGATGACGCCGGGATTCTTGGCAAACCACTCGCCATCCTTCCGAACCTGAGCCAGGGTCGAAGACTCACTGATCCCTCAAGAGGACATGGACATATGGCGAGTTCCGGGTTTTACGGGAAACTTCGTGACTTCTCCCAGGTCCACCTGAAATTTACCCTCTCTTTTTTCTTTTCCTGACCGACCTGAGGGGGCATGCAGCCCAACTCATTGCCGGAGTAGTTGGTGTAGCAGCTGAGAATCATCTTGGGATCGATGTTCTTGATGTTCTTGGAGCACTTCTTCAGCTTGGTGATGTTCATCTTGCACTTCTGATCCGTGTGGAAGGTGACCTGGGGTTTCGTGCGTCTCAAAACAGGAGATCAGACAAATGCGAACGGTTTCCGGTCGGTTTCCCTATAACCACCAACCAAAACCGGCCCGAAATGCACTTTGAGCAAGAGAAACCGCTCCAAAGGTTTGGGTTTTTAAGTGTTTGGCTCGGGGTTTCCCCGCGGATTTCGGGAAGCTCCCAATTGGGCATGAATTCTAAGTTGGGACCCTCTGGTGAACATCATTCATGTGGCTCATGTTCAGCGCACTTTGGAGGTCAATTCATAGCCATGACGAGCCATATCCACCTTGTTCTCTTCATCATTGGCATACTCCAAGATGTCCAGCTCGCCTCCTTTCGGCCAACTCACATCGCCTAAGTGGATATCCATGAGGAAAACAGCATTGGCACCCTTTGGCTCAATTTCAAGGGAAACCCGAAACCATCCAAAAGGAAACCGCTTGTCTTTGGCTGGATTTTGCAGCGAAACTCAAAACTCGAAGAGTTGGAAAAAAGTGGACTCTGCTTGCAGGGGCGCTGTTCACCATCCAAAAGGCGGGCCACACGCCGGCACCGTAGGGCACGTGGTTGTACTTCATGGCCACGATGAAGCCGACATCCGGGCGCCAAGCCTGTGCCGAGTGAAGCATCACGGAGCCTCGGTTGGTCAAACTGAGCTGCAAGTGATCACCGGCGAGGGCCAAAATGTATTCTCAAAGTTAAACGTTTAAAGTCAAAAGCTTTGCTGGCTCAGGAGATAAAATCGTCATTCTCCAAGAGGTTAAAAAAGGTTGGCTCCTGAGATCAAGGAGCGCCGCTTGAAGGGCTGCACTTGCTCTCCGACCCGGAGGATGGCGCCGGCCTTGGAGGCGTGCACCACGCCCTGGTGGAAAGCCTCGGACTTGTTGAGGTACCATTCTGCGCCCCTTGGCCAAGGACGCAACCAGTTGATCACTCTAAAGGGGAGCTATGTTGGTACAGAAACGACAACTTCCTAAAACCGTCCTTGGTTTTGTCACATCCAGCCAGCACAGTATCTCCACTTCCCCCAAAAAAACGCACAATGACCCCGGCGTTTCGTCACATTCCCCGCCTGGTTTCGCTCTTGTTGATGAACTGCCAATCGTCGAAGAAGGTCTCACCCTGCGCCTTCCATGCCTTTGGCTCGTTCGGCCAAAAAAGCAAAACTCAGAGTGGGATAGCTGCTAGGATTTGGCCAGGACTTAGTTCGATTTCGGGGGATAGGGCAATGCGTCTCATAAATCCAAGTCTAAGAAGTCCAGGCGCTTTGGAATGCTAGACCAAACCGAGATGCGAGCTGGTACTCGTCATGCAAACTTTCGCAGCCCGTGGCACGGTGGGCGTGGAAGGGTGGCAACCCGAGGGCCGAGCCTTCAAAAACCATGGTGGGCCCGTCGTTCATTGGCAAGCACTTTCGAGGGCCTGTCAGATGGTTGGGCCAACAACGCCTTTTTTGGGAAACTGCATTTTGGGTTTACCCTCTCCACTAACATGGAACCCACCGGAGGGTCCCTTTTGAAGGAAAAAGTCTTAAAAGACCCAGTCAGGTTCCATGTTAGTGGACAGGAGCGTAGGTCCATACATGTGTCAAAATATAACTAGTCCAAAAAGAAGCTGCCTGAGATGACGGCGTTGTCGTTAGGGCCAGTGAAGGACTTGGGAAAGGCGTTGTAGCTGGTAAGGAGACAGCCACCATCCTTCCAATAAGAGAAGTGCTCACACCCGAAGGTGGTGGCACACAAAAGTTGGCACGCGGCCGGTGTGGCCTGGGGAGTCTTGGAGGAGCCGGGCATCGCAAACTCGCCATTCATCTCCACATAAAAGGTCTTGTTCTTCCAGCACTTCGGGGTTGCCATCCCGGTGATGTCGAAGTCCTGCAACAACTTGGATTCATCGATCTTCACCGGCTGCGAAACCGCCGAGCTTGTCGAGCTCGTGGAGCTCGTCGAGCTCGAGCCCGACAGGGCCAGGATCACGAAGGTGGCAACGGCCGCTGCCACTGCCCCGGCGATCTTTCCCCGACTGAGCTTGGGAGGGTTCGCCTGGATCACCTCTCCGTGCTCGCAGGCCATCAAGGGATCCACCGTCATGGCCATTCAGAAATTCCTGCCCTGGTGGCAGCCGCTATTGATAGGCTAGGAAAACGATCGCAACATTTGAGCTGAGAAAACCGCCGTGCACACGTGTATATATATATATATATGTATATATATATATGTGTATATATATATATATATGTATGCAAAGCATAGCCCTCATTGACATGAGTCTGCACATGTTGCAAGTGAGACAAGGGAGGACAACTGAAGCACAGTCATGCCTCGTACACACCGCACTCGGCATCTGCGCAAATTGGAAGCTCTTGCCGCCTGGGCTGCTGCGATAATCGGCCCCAAATGAGTGAGACCTGAAGCAGCTGCTGATAGATGTCATCGATGTCAGACAGGCCCTCGTATAAATCAGCCTGCGCCGGCAATGTGACATCGAAAGAGGCAAGAACTGCAAATATGCACAGCTGCAAGGCCATCTGTTTGGTCTCATCTTGCACTTGCAAGAGGCACCTCTGAACCACTGCCTCAGCTTGAATCACACATTCTTTGCATCGCAAAGCACACAGCTCGCGGCGTAATTCAACATACTGCCGTTGGGATTTGGGGGTTGATCAAAAGGTCCTTTACATTGGATGATGGTTCGAGACACTGCTAAAAAAACGACATGTCCCACTAAATGGGAAAAGTTGTCCAAAGTTGATCAACCCCCATTTATCAATCCAGGGTATGGCCAAGCCCTTGACGAAGCCGTGGTTCAACCACCCCGTCTAAACCACCTCTTTGCGGCGGGGACCGGGAGGTAAGCCGCTGACCCTGATGTTGCACTCGAAAACCAAAAGTTGGTGTCCGCTTCTATGCACCCAGCCGACTGTGCAGGTGGATGCCATGGTCGGAGCCAGCGAGTCCTTCACCACGTCCTCGGCCTGGGGTCCGAGTGTTGCCCATTCGAGCGAGTGCCCATGAGATTGGTCCACTGGTTCAAGTGGCCTGTCCCCCATCGGTCCTCCCTACTACCAACAGCACCCAAGTGCATGAGGGATAAGTTCAAGGGGCTGCAGCGTGCAGCGCCTGAGGCGAAAGCATCCTTCTCAGGCCGCAGGAGTAAGGGCGCGCCGTCTGCCAAGTGAACCTCGCCAGTCTCACTAGTCCGTTCAACAGGTCCCACTGGATTTACCACTTGAAGGTTGCACTTGAGAAGTGAAACTACCACTGTTGGAGGAGGCAAAAAGGACAATTCAGGGACCCCGTTCGAGACCACCCGGACTTTCGCACCCGCGAGGCTTGACTTTGGCCTCGGCCTCGACGTCCAGCTATTCAAGCACGGACAGGCGTCTAGATGACAGCCACCAAATGGGGGTCTCTCTCAAAACGCCGCCTCGACCCCTCGTTCGGCTTGCAGAAAAGGAAGCCATTGGAAGCCAAAGGAAAACCCAATCATTCTCGGGGACTGAAACCTATCTTGAGAATCTTTCGAAGGACCGCAGAACCTCAGCGCCCGCGCTCAGCTGAATTGCTACTTCCGTGCGTGGCGCAGCTTGGCCATAGCTCGCCGCTTGGCAAAGAAGCGGAAGAAGAAGCCTTCCTTGCGAGCTGCCGCTCGGTGGCATGCGCAGTAACCCAAGCAAACAATTGACATGAAACACCTGCCAACCCCTGACACCAACCAATCCTTGTCTGCTCAGCCGATGTTTGTTTTGCCAACGAGAGGCCGAAAACGCGAAGCACGCCAGCGCATAGTCCGGAGCGTCGCCACAGATCCCCTCCCAGCAGGCGCCGTCCGGCTCCACGAAGTGACCCCCGTTCGCGGGCACGTCGAGCCGCGGCGCCGGCGACAGCTGGAAGGCCTCGCTCAGCTGGCCCGAGCAAACCAAGGCGCAAGCCAGGCCGGCAGCCCTCGCAGATTGCATTTGGTGCAGAGAATCCCCCACCACCAGGACTCGCTTGTTGGCGAGGGTCTGCAAGTCTCCCACCGAATCGAATTGCTGACTTAGGCCAAGTGGGTGCAGTTCGGAGGTGGTACAGAGCAGAAGCACTGTCTTGCCGGCAGCTTTCAACTCCTGCAAGCAATCTGCAGCCCAGGGGAACACCCGCTCGTCTTTGTGAATCGTCCCCTCCCCAGCCACAACAAAAGTGTCGAAGGAAGAGACGATTTCTTGCATACCTCCTCCCAGCCAGCATGGAAGATGCCCTTCTTGTTTGGCATGCATTGCCACACATCCCTGATATCGCCGTTGTCTTTGCAGTTTTCGAGCCATCGCTCGTCTTGCCCATGCCGCGCAGACAAAGCTCAGTGTCCCAAAGGCCACGCGGCGATCGGGCCGCGGCACAGGTCGCAACACATCTGGTCGATGCCGCGGATGTGCGGAAAGCTGGCCCGGCCCAAATGGCAGCCGGAAAGCTAGCGGCGCAGTCATGTTCTATGCTACTCGAAGTGCGCGGGGAGCTGGTCTTCGATGTGATTGTGTCTTTCAAGAATTGTTTGAGGCTTCAGGCCATGTTGAACAATCACATGGCTGTGTGGCGTGCAGAATTGCTAGCGTCATGTCAGTGCAAAGCAATGTCCAATGTGTCGCTTTGTATCCAATACTTTATATAATTGCTTTGTATCGAATCAGAACAGGTCACATTGGCTGCAGTCTGCAACAGTTGAATCACACTCAACACTGTGCACATGCAGGCTTATCAGTTGCTGATTGAGCCTGCAGCGTTCATGCGCTGCAAATAAATCTGTGAGTAGATGCGTGTTGGCAACATGTACAGGCACTCGGATCTAAGAAACCGTGACCATGACCAACATGAGCACATTGATGGCTTCAGGAGTTCTGTGTTGAGGAGGCTTCTGCAGACTGCTGACGCCCTGCAGGCTTCACGACTGTATTCAGTGTGTTCTGCGCCCAGCTGCAAACTAGTTTGGCAATTTGGTCGTTGACTCCTTGCAAAAAGTCAGACTTGTTGCTCCTTCCATGCTGCTCAGTTGTCCTAAACGTTTTGCTTGAAGGGGAATTGTCATTTTCTTCCTACCAGACTACCAGCTATCGCACTATCCAACCAATCCCGCCAACCAACCAACCGACCGACCACCCCACCCACCAGGGAAAACCCCTGCTTCAAGGGGAAAAACCTTGGGCCAGATGTCTCAACGCAATAAAAAAGAACACTGGATGGTGCCGGGACTCATCCCGAAGCTGCAAAACAAGCAGCGACAAGGCCAAGCCCTGAAGCTCTGATCTGACGGATATCAACCGCGCCAAGGCCCAGACTTCACCCTGGGCTTTGACCAGAGATTCGAAGCGCCGACGAAGCCAGCAGGTGTCTTCTCTGAAGGATGGGCTGACTCCTGTGAACCGCAGACAAGGAAAACCTGTTGCAGCTGCCTCAGATTTGGTATTGAGACGCAAACGCCGCCACTCCAAACAAGCACATCCTACAATAGACACAAAGATGCGTTCGAGAGTGACGCAAATGGCCAAAGGCATCCCGCTCCTTCCCAGCCAGGACCGCAGGGCACCAACTCCACGCGAGGAACGAACACCGGCACCTGCAAGCAGAAGAGCGGGACTCCGCGCGGGTCATGTCGGACTGAATCTCTGGAGGTCAAAATTGAAGGACAAAATTGGAGGCCCGTTTTTGGAAGGGACCCCCCGGTTTTGGGAGGGACCCCCCGGTTTTGGGAGGAACCCCCCGGTTTTGGGGAGGGACCCAGGACCGACCCGGGACCGACCCGCGCCCCGGCAGAACCATCCGTCCGCCTGGTGACAGCGCCGGAGCTTCGCCAGGCCGAAGCGCGGGAGGCCGAGCCACTCCGCGAAGCTGGCCTCGATCGAGCCATCGTCGAGTCTTCGCCTGTCCTTTGGTCCTTTGCTTAAAGGCCCTGGTCGTCTTCGTGAATTTGGCTTGAGGGAAATCTGAAGCAATCCTCGTGGCCTTTTTTCGCGGCTCGGAATCCTTGTGGTTGCTCAAAGCCTCGAAAAGGCTCTTGACCATCCCTACCAAGCCCAACTCGGCATCTCCTGAAGCAGCAGCTCGACATGTTTTACAGCCAATCCTGCAAGCGCCAGTGTCGCCGGACCGTGTGGGGCTCAAATTTCCGCACAATCCGGTCACAGCACCAGCTGCGGGCGGTTGCTCATTTGATCTGAGGCCTGCACGCCCAGAATCACATGTCCTGGTGGAACCAGCGCCTGGCAAAATGCACGCGAGAAGACAACCGCAGCGCGGGACACTGGGGCAGTGGTATTTCTCCATTTTGTTAGACTCGCCTTCGAAGGTAAAAACAAAAAAATGGTCCACGCGAGTCTCCAGCCCTCAGAACAATGTGGTTGTCCCCAGCCTTGGTGTCCACCGTCAGCCGCAGAAGCTGCGTTTCGGGTTGGTCAGTCGGCCTGCATCACAAACCGATACCCAACAATATGACTACGAGAGATGCCCAAAACTAACAATCAATGCTAGAAAGTGTTCATGCTAGGCAAGGGGCGCATGGTCCACTTGCGCTGCAACTTTGCTAGCCAAACTAACAATCAATGCTAGAAAGTGTTCATGCTAGGCAAGGGCGCATGGTCCACTTGCGCTGCAACTTTGCTAGCCTCAGCTTTGTTTCCTTAGATCTGTCTCTCTCTTTTGAAATCAATTCTTACATTCAAGGTTCACCACCTCTGGAGACGTTCACGTAAAACCAGGGTGGGAAAATCAAGGCTCGTCCCGCATGTTCCCAAATTAAACAGAGACTACCAGCTTGGACTGATCTCCAATCAGCCCGCTGCCTCTCCAGGCATGGTGCATCAAGCCACATGAGGCAGCTCGACAAACCGCCAGCGATGGAGTCCAGGTCCTGCGTTCGCGCGAAATGCGGGGTGTGTCGATGGTTTTCTGGAGGGTGCCGCCGCTCGGGGTGCTTTCTGCCCTTGTTAAACTCTCAAGCTCCGAAGAAAAAATGACGGAAAACCTGAGGCTTTCTGCCAGATTTGTATAGGCCTTGCTATGGCCCCATGAAACCAGGCAGTAGTGGAAACTCTGAAATGGCCGTCACAGGGGTTTTGGGCACAGCTCAAGTGGAATTGGTTCATCATGCAGAAGTATTGTCCTCCTTACGAAGAAGGCCAAGAGGCATAGAAGCATCCTGAGAGCTTGCTGCTTCGGGGAAGAAGCACGACAGCAAGCAGTCAACACTGGGTCCATCCTTAGAGGACATCCTCAAAATGTTACCCTTTAAATTGTAGATTAGCGGGAAACTGCCCAAGGGCTTTTTTGAGAATGCTCCTTTTCATGGACCCAGTAGTATCGTTCAAGCTTCTCTCCTCGTCAAAGCCAAACACCCGCAGGTGAAATATCTCTTCTTCTTCGTCAGCTGACATGGACACCTTCGCCGCGCAGAAGTCAAGTTGACGATCAAAACCCGGTACTAAAGGAGTGAACCAATGATCATTACTACCCTCACTAAGCTTCACTTAGCCTTTAGCTCAAAGTTAGTTTGGGACTGCCCTCACTTCAAGAACTGGGGCAAGATCTGCCGTTTTGAAGCCCATGTCAGCTTGTACTAACCTTTTCACTTGGGTCTTGACTGCTCAAGCCTTGGTGCCCGGCCCCCTCTCGCTCTCGCTGGCGCGACTCAATGGCCAGCTCCTGGGCAATCCGTTTTCGCATGGCCCGAGAGAATCCGCCAACGAATCGTATCTTTTTGTTCGACCTTGGTTCAAAGGAAAGGCCAAACGCCAAGCTGGCATTGGGCAAGGTCCGAATCCCGATGTCGACATGATCTATGATGCATGGCAAAACTCCGCTCATTCTGTGTGTGTGTGTGTTTGAGCATGTGTGTGTGTGTGTCATGGTTCCCTTGATAGGAACCCTTTCCATGGTTGTCTAACATCCCGAAGGGGGTGATGACCATCCCTACCGACCCCAACCATTGCTTCATATGATTTGCAAGCCAGACGGAGGTCAGTGGCTCCGTATCCCGGCCAAGCATGAAGCATTCAGACCTCGGCATAAGCAGTTGCTCATATGAGTATGCACTGAAACAGGAGGACCCAAGAAAATGTGGGTGTGGCTCAAAAACAAAGACCCAGGGTTACGCAGGTTTAGTCTACTTTTCCACTTACCAGGGTTCCATTTTGGGCCCCTATTTTTAATCCACGTGTGGTTTCACAGATTCTGGACCATACTCCAACCCTGGCCCAGTTGCAGTTACAAAATCATGATGTCCTGCATATTACAACTCGATCTAGAAAAGAGGGGTACAGATTCATCCACCGCGGAAAACCACCATTTCGGAGACAAACCCACGCGGCAATGACCAAGTTGTGAAGTTGCATGGAAAGGCGCAGCTGATAGGACCCAAGACTCGATGCATGCTTTTGAGAATCTGCGACTTAGGATGCGGCGTGTTGGGGTCGGCTGGGTCGAGCTGCAGTTTGGCAACGAGCTGACCATGCACCTAGGCAGAGCTACTGCAGAGCATCTGTGAAAGTACATTTAGAATTTGGGTGACGAATTGGATCCCTCAATTTCGGCTACGGATCACACTCGGCACGTGCGGGCGATCTCTTCCAAGTGATTTATGGATTGCGTCGTAGCAATATGAGCCTGAGTGCCAACCCTGCGCAAGAGGTTCTAAGCAGAACGCCCACACGGGGAAGATCATGCCGGGCATCAACACGGAGACCTCTCCGCGCGAACAAAAATTCGCGCCTTGGGGGCGCGGCTCAAAACTCGGGGCCGCTTCGCCTGGGACAACAAGTTCTCCTCGATGAAGCCGGCCTGCAGCTCCACCACCTGCGAGCGATTCGGTAAAAAGGCTCAAGCGCCGTGGATTTGACAAGGCTGAGAGTTGCTGTGGGGGTTAGAGTTCCCACACCTTACTTCAGACTTGATTTGAGTTGACTCTTGGCGTGGGCCCGATATATATAGAGCCCTGCAAATTCAAAAACCCTCACGCTTCGAGATTGACGCACCAGCGCCTCCCAATCTTCAATTCGGTTCCTCGAGAGACAGCTGCTGTCAACTCATTTGTGAACTTTGATTGGGGATCCCTTGGTGAACACTTACGCGGGGATTAGTATATCAACCAACCATTTGTCCAGCATTCCCAGTTTCAAATGCATCGCCTTGCTGGGCACAGAATGCAACTCTGCAGCCGAAGATCGGCTGGACCATAACGCTGCTGGCAATGGGAGCGGCGTGCGCAACGGCCTCAACCTGCTCACCTTCTTTCAATCCTAAAGATTCAGCGAAGGGCTTGGATATCTCAAGGCACGCCTGACGGAGAGAGTGATCTCCCGCCCAGCCGACAAACACATCTCCTTGGTCGAACTGACCCCCTGCAAAAGGTGTTTCACTTTCTCCTGGTTGGTGGGGAAACAGTCATTGTCCAACTGGTTCAAAAGTTGAACCAACCAACCGACCGACCAGCGAACCTGCCAAAGACCAACAGACCACAGGCCAAACAAACCAACCAAATACAAAAAGGCTATTCCGGTCATAAGAGTTACCAAGTCTCCTTTGGCGCATTGCAAGCGCAAGCAGCGGCAGAAATGCCGCGCCGAGGTCTTGAAGAGTTCCCCAGCATCGCTACTGTGCAGGGCTACGTAGCAGCTGGCCCGCTCCGAGAACTGCACTAACAGCTTCATCGGGCATCACGGATTCGACGCCATGGCTCAGCCTCCATACTGTCCATTGTAGAGGTGGAGTTTCTTTGGATTGTCTAACTTCTGGTCTAGTGCCCACCACACGTTCCCAACTATCTATGATGGTGTTTGGTCTGTCGGTTGAAGCCAAGTGCGAGAACTGTGCAAGGTCTAGATGGCAAAGTTCATTGATTTCAGCTGCCTGCAGCACTCGCGTTGCACCAGATACCTCGACGAGCTGCCGCACATGCCGTCCCAGTGATGGAGCCACCTTTTTCTATACAAGGCAGTGGGCAAAGCTGGTCTTGCCGAAAAAGAAAATTTGCGAGGGCGACACGGCCGACACATGCTCATTTACAGGCAAGAGAGGTGTTCTGCCATCTGGCATAGTTGTTTGCCAATAGCAGCACCTGGCTTCCTCAGAAGCCCATCTCAGGGCAGCCCACCTGCGCCACAGGTGGCGTCTCTTGACTGGGAGCAGACATGACAAGCGCCGTCCTTCTGGATCGCTCCTTCTTTCACCAGCAGCTTCTTCAGGTCATGGTATTTCTGAACGGGAGACAAAAGCAAACAAACAAGACAGACTTCAAGACATTCTGGTCATCTCCCTACTTTCCTCATGTGCTTGACGACGCCTGCGGATATCTCTCGATCATGTCGTCATGGAACTGATGGTAGATCTGCAGCCATTGCTCATCTTCACTCGCTCTGCGACCATGCACGAAACCATTGAAGCGCTAGAATTCGTAGACTGCCAGCCCTCTTGCTCTGCGACCAATCCGCTCATATCCCACCAGCCTCCCCCTGGTGGAATGGAAACTCGTTCGAGTCGTAGACCTGCGGCACGTCAACATGACGGATGGGCTTCGAACGATACTTTGCAGCCTATTCCATGCACACTTCACTAAAATCCAGTCTGGGCGGTTTCTTGCATAGCAGCTACCCTCCTTCAATCATGCAAGTGGACGTGAGGCTTTTTTCAAGAGGACCTTACATTAGTCTTCCGAAATCCTCTGTCCGCTTCCATGTTGGAAAGAGGGTAATGCATGCCCAGCCAGCTTTACTGCAGCTCTACTGCAGCCAGGCCCAAACTTTCTTCGTGCCCACGGTGTCGGCATCGTTGCCCTGGCGGGAAGCGCCACAAATTCGCGAAGACTCTATCAGACATTCGCACTGGGTATGAACTTCAATTGGGACGCTTCGGTGGAGATTCATGTCCAACAACCACTTCTGAGGCTGTTCCCTATGACAACTCCTAGCCACCAATATCTGGAACTGAGGAGAACCCACAAATCAGCGAAATAAATTCATGATTGAGTTTTGCCAAACGGATCTGGCCCCCGAACAGTCGACATGTTTGCTGGCTAGAACTAGGGAACGTGAAGGAAACCCAACTGTGGCAATGTCAAAACTTGCGCCCTCATGTCCAGTCGCAGCTCGGTCTATGTTTTCAAGGGCACTCCCCGAAAACTCAAAATTTCGGTGGTTCCTTTTTGGCCTCCGTGAAAAAGAAAAAAAACGCTCCCAACGAGGGGCGCCGCATCGCGCGGTTGAGAGTCTCGCGCCTGGCCCCGCACCAGCTCGAGGCGCCCGGCGTTGGCAGCCTCGACGGCCTTGAAGGCGGGCCCGTCCATGCCGCCTGGGCTAAAACGTTCGAATCCGTTCCTCTAGGATCTTTGTTCAAAGAAAATCTGGGGGGGTCCTTTGTGGCTCCCCTAGGATCTTTGCTTTCTCAAAAAAAGGTTTTGGGGGGGGAGGGGGTGGGGGCCCTCTTTGTGGTGGTCGTGGGTGTGGCTCAAGAATGAGGGGTTTGGCTTTTTGGAGAAGGGGAGAGCAAAAGGATGGTCAGGGAAGGCGTTCCCTGCCATTTGAACAAAAACCGATACATGCCATGATCAACACTCTCAATCTGTGAGTCATGGTCATGATTGTCTTGGGGAGCTTTACATCGGCCAAAGTAGTAAAGTTGCATGGAAAGTGAAATCCGCGCTGACAAGACAGAACTCCAAGCATGGGAGCCTTTTCCTTGCGTCAGCCACATCCGTCTGATGTGGTGTCTTTGTCCGACGAGCCTTTGCTCGAAGGCATCGTTTTGAAGCGCTCTCATGTTTTCCTCTTCTTCTTCTTCTTCTTCTTCTTCTTCTTCTTCTTCTTCTTCTTCTTCTTCTTCTTCTTCTTCTTCTTCTTTTTCGTGCCACATCTTGAGCCTCTGAACTTGCAAGCCTTCGCTCGCATCTCGGCATCAGCCTGCGTGGTGAGTTCCCGGACACTCACACCCTGCGCAGTGCGAGTTCCTGCTGGACGCCGCGTCAGTCCGCCAAATTCGGCTTCTCGCTTCGCGCCGCCCAGATGTCCTCAAAGTCCCTGCGGACGGCTTCCTCGGTGACTGTTGCCCCCAAAAAGCTTCTTTTTGATTGGTTGGCGGGGTTGGGAAAGCACACTTTCCAGAAGCTCCTTGAGCTTCAACAAGCTTACAAATGACAGCTTACAAATGACAGCTCAAGGCTTCAAGCTTACAAATGACATACAGCAGAGACATTCAAATTATCAAGGCTCTGCTTTTTGGAGCTCTTCGTGGGAGAGCAAGATCACCGCCACCGCGGCGCTCTTCACACCTTTCACCAGCTCACCCCAGAGAACGGCATCCAGCTCCTATTCGGCGAAATAGGAATTCGGACCACCAAAACAGCGGCTTTTCCTTTTTAGTTCCCCTTTAAACTAAGGTGAAAAGGACCTTTAAAACACCCTCCTCTTGACGTCCAGAAGTTGTTGATGCATGCCGAATCAGTTTTCTTTGCTCCGCTCCTCGGGGGGCTGCAAGACCTGAGCTTGTGTGGCTCCAAGCCACTTGCCCTCCAAAGCACCGGTGGCGCCAGCGGTCGCTACGACGTGAATCTGTTCCCTGAATCGCGTGATGGTCGTTTCCTCGAGCACTGCCTTCCTTCGACATTTTTCGTAGTGCTCGGACGCGCGGCGGGCATCCTCCTCGCCCTGCTTCCGGCGTTTCTGTCGCAGCGGCTCGGACTGGTCACTGCAAGAAGCTAGGCGAGTGTTGACCGCCGTCCAAATATCATTCCAAACCAGCCACTTCAGGTCGTCAGAAACTTCACGTGGCAGAAGTTTCAAGAGTGGCATGGTTCATGGCAAGAGCTGATCTGAAAAAAATAGTTGGAGCGAAAGAGTTGAAGGATCCTTGAGCTGTGCTAGTCTTTGAACAACAGGTCTGAGTCTGAGCCATCATGATAAACATTCTTGGGCCTGGTACTGCGAACACATGCCAAGCCATCCTTGAATGTGTGTGTGTATATATATATACCTATATATATATATACGCTCATAGTGGTGTTACCTCATACAAATTTCCATCTCTCCCATGCACTTCTCCATTGAGACCAGGAATCCGAGTGCTGCTCTCCGCCCATCAATCACTCGCTGCTTCTTTTCTTCCTTCTCAGCGTTGGGCTGAGAGCTTCGGCTCGGGTCTGGTGCTTGACCAAGACCGTCACCTTCGCCCTCCGTTGCCTTTCTCTTGGATCCTTGGGTGGCGGGCTCGGTCATCAGGGATCGCGGATGTCTGGGCTTGATCTTGTTCATGATGTCCAGCACTTCTTTCGTGGGCGCCCCGAGTTGGGCGGAAGGCTTATTCCGCTTTCGGTTCTGGCCCGTCGTGTGGCTCACGTTCCCGGCGAGGTGTCGTACGATTGACTGCTCGAACTCCCTCTTGATCTTCCATACATCCTTCCACAGCGGGAGTTCGTGCTGAAAGTACGACATCACCTCAAAGAACCCCAATATCATCTCGACGACGTCCCCCAAGGATTCCTCATTCGAAGTCTGTCCCAGGAGGTCATACATCGCCCCCTGATCGAGCACGCTCTTGATCCAGGATGAATAGGCCACGTTGCCAAGATCCTTGTCTATCATAAAGATGGAGGTCCTCTCCTCAACTCCCTCGGAGTTCTTGCACGTGATCACATCCCGGGATGCACACAATTGCTTCCCGTGACCGTTGTTGTAGAACTGCGCTGCCTGATCCATTGTCATGCTCACGAAACCCACGTGGGATAGCTCCTTCTTCAGCTTGGAATATGCGAGTTCCCGTATAATCGTGGTCATGGCCTGAACATTGTTGACGTCCACCATGAGGTTTTGAAGATCAGGGATTGCTACCACGCATTCCGCGAAAAGTCGCGTATACAGCTTCCTCCCTTCGGTTGATCTCACAACACCGTTCGTGTCCGCATTCCAGTTCGCGCAACAGTTCACGCAAGAAGTGGGATTGAATTTTGAGTTTGATCCGAGCACCTTCGACTTGTTCACCTGCATCTCTCTCACACAAAGTTCGCAGATCAACCCACTGAGCTCGGTGACCGAATACCATCGAAGACGTTGATCACTGGCATCGATGTTCCCAAACGCATCTTGTCCGCCGTGTCCTTCATCCTGCCGTTCTTGCATCCGCTTTGATTGAGCAGTGAAGGTCGGCTTGTACTCGAATTTCACCTTCGACTCCTCCATGTTCTCGGGATGTTGAAGCGAAGGTCGGGCTCGTTTATGCATGTCTCCTCCAGCTCACGCACGAACGCGTTGCTTGGTGCGATCACATCGATGGATTTCTCCACCAACAATCGCTTCAAGAGGAAATGTTGCAGATTCGAGCTTCCAGGGATCTTGTAGTTCTTACCTGTGAGCGCGTGGGCAACGCGCCACAGGCGATCATTCTCGGTCACCAACGCGCCTGCCGCCTTGCAGATCTCGCTCACCTTGTTGGCGATCGTCCCCAAGTCCCCTCTTCCTCCATGGAAAGCTACATCGCGATTCACGCACACCACGACCAGGCCCTTGCACGTGTTGACGAGGTCGGATATCGCCTTTTGCAAGGAGTCAATGATGGGGTTGGCGGTCACCTGCCACCCACACCCTCTCATGCACACCCAATCATAGAG